TATAGTTTGATCGGAAATTACATATTATTAAGTAATTGATCACATTTTATTAAAATATAAACGTTTAATAGGGTAGAAATTTTGAAATTATTTAGCTTTAGCATGTATAGTCGCCAGAGACAATTGCAGAAAACTGCAACTACTCGTGAAAACTTACAATAAAAGCAATGTAGATGAAAGTACTAAATATTATTATTATTAAAATTAGATCCATATATAAAATATTTTACATCATTTATTTGAATAAATCGGAATATATTTTTGCATATAAGATAGTTTCCATTTAGCTCATAAAGTACATATTTCACTACAAATATTTTTAAGATCATTTCCAATTGCAAAAATAGCGCTAATTAGTTGTATTGAAGTATAAAACATTTTATTACGTTCATGTTTACTTATAAAGCGCATAACAATATTTCTCTCGCCATTTTCCGATGTTAAAATTTTTCACCACGTTATTTTGCTGCACAGCACCCTGAATGCGGCAAAACAGTTGCTCGCAACCCTCAAGTCCTTTATGGGGACCAAATTAACAGCCACAACAACAAAAACCTTTTCTACTGGTATACTGTGCAGAAGTACGAGAACGCAAAGTTTGCAAAAACTTGCAACTCTCGAAACAGCTGATTACTTCCACAGTTGCCACTGGTGGTTCATTTGGCAATCTATATTCTTCTTGGTACATTTTCCCCAATTTGGCACTTTATAAAATTCAACTTCAAAATCAAATTCAAATATCCAAAAGTATAAGAAAAACCTTTTTAAAATACAAATTAATTTTTCTGACGCATTCAAAAAGAAGAGAATCTCCTCCAAACACCCATCATTTACCCAAAAAAATTTAATAGATATACATAGCTACGAATGTACCTTTAAACCGACCACAACTGACAATTTCAGCAATTAACATCTCAGCATGCTGCATTTTAATCTAGTTTGATATATTTAAGGGAAATCTATGGTACAAACGAAAAATGTCATACGGCAACCATAGGCAGCACACACTAAAGTAAACAAAGGAGATTAAGGGCGGTATTATCACTTGCGAAGCGAATGAATTTGGCGAAGCGAATGGATTGGCGGACGCAACTTAAATATGCATTAAGAGTGTTCTTTTTTACCAGCTTGTGGAAGTTCTTTGCATCGCGAACACCTTTAATGCCTTCCCTGCCCTTAAATTCGCTCCGCCAAACCGTTCGCTTCGCCAAAATCATTCGCTTCGCAAGTGATAATACCGCCCTAATAGTAAATTAACTAAAAATAAACTCAACCAACCTTGTGCTTAATAACTTTACCCTCTTTTTCATTGTATACTGCATTAATAATAAAATTTGCAAGTTTTCGCTAGTAAAAAATTTTCCAGCAGAAATTTGCAGCTCTCTATCTTGCAAGTTTTTTGGGTACGAGAACGCAAACCACAATTTTCTAAAACTTTTAATAGTTTTGGGCACGAGTACACTCCTAATGTCGCATTTTGATTGCCCCTTTCTATTTTCGTGTTCGATTCTAAAAAAAGGTCAAACGGTGAGAAAACTTTGTGTTCGTTTCTTAAAATGTCACACTCTTGTAAGGCAAAAAAGGCACATTTTTTGCCCTTTGAAGCTTTGCAGGGAAGATGGTTGCCCTGAAAATCAGATGGTTGGATAAGATCAAAAAGCAAAAACATGCCCTTTTAAATGGTTGAGTGTAACATCAAACACATTTTGCACCGTGCATGGGCAACATGTTTTGGTAGAAACGAAATCACCATAGATATAAATTAATTAATAAAAATCAACAAAACATTAAAGAACTAGTCAATAAGAGTTGCCGTAGCACATACGACTCTATTATATAGGATTGGTGTGATTTTGTCGTATGTACCATACAATTTGTCACATAAGCAATATTTTAACAAGTAATAAATTTCATCAAACTATATGAAAATTTTGTCGTATGTGAAATTTTTCGTAACATACAACAAAATGTTCACCGAGTCTCTTGCGAACTTGCAAATACGACAAAAGTTTACTGAATCAGGCCAATTCTTAATACTCCCGGGGAGTTTGTTCTCCGGTTATGGTTCATAAAAGGATGTTATTAAGCTCTCCTAATACAGATAAGCTTTCTTTCAACACGTGGTTTAGTCATAGTTACCAAATCTTAGTTGAGGCAACCACGATTTGGTTTGAGAGTGGAACATATTCATGCTTGTGAGCCACCCCTAAAGAATGCTGAGCGCTCTCTGAGCACATACGAAGAGCGCCAGCTGAGCAATGCACACAGTCCCACTTATTGAATCGTTTGAATGCGCTAGTATGCCGACCATTGCATTGTGCGTGGAAATCATTGCTCCGCTACCGCTGTTCGTATATGGGTGAAACACGCATGTGGTCCCAGAGCGCTCAGTAAGCTATGGCATGTCGATCGCTGCGCCATGTGTGCTATGACATGCCCATACTTGTTTGTCTCAGTATCAGTTTTGCTATCGTCGCGAGTTGTTTCGGTGCGCGCATAGTTTAAAGTTTAATTAAAAATATAAAGTTTGATGCCAACCGGGGTTTTTCAGTGGATATATAATTCATGTGAATTATAATTTGGAAGTGTCTATTTAGCTAAGGAAAAAGCAAAGCAGTATACTTCCAGCAGATATTGACCTGGGTTTTCGCACGACTGTTCCTG